TTTTTTTTTTTTTTTGGTTGGGGGCGGGGGGGATTTGATTAAATTTTAATTTATATTTAATTTAATTTATATTTTATTTTTTATTTTTTATTTTTTATTTTTTATTTTTTATTTTATTTGAATTTATTTTTAAATTTTATAAATATTATTTTTTAAATATTCGTGGATATTCACGTATATCCATGAATTTTAAAATATTCACTTATATTTTTTAAACAAGTATCTAACAAGTAATAAATAGATTTTTTATTGCGGGTCAGATAGCGAATAAACATTATTTATGTCTGATATGGTGTGTTGTCATGAATAAAAATTTTATAAATTTATTAATTTAAGGATTTTGGATAAAAAAATATCAATTTTTTTATATAAATTAGAATAAGATCTTATTAATATTATATTTTTTATAATTATCTTTAAAAGACACTTTATAACTAGTGTCTACCTATTATCCGATGCGCAACAAAAAAATTACTTATTATCTCGTCTCTTGCCCACACATCTCATCCGTTACCCACACAAATAACTTTTTAAAAAATACTTACATTATTTTAAAATCCCTTAGTATCCATACTTGCAAAAATTAAAAAAAAATATTTTTTATTAAAATTTAAAATAAAACTAAAAATATATATAAAATTTAATTAATTTTAACTTTAATTAAATTTAACTTAATAAATATAAATTAATTTTTTATTTATTTTTTGCAAGTAACATATTTTCACCTGTGTAATTAATATAATACGTGTACCTAACCTATTTATAAAAAAATATTAAAATATTCGTTATCTCTTATTTGTTAATAAATATTTATGAATAAGCGATATATTATATTTATCATCTGTATTTATAGCTCACATAACTTTATATTTGTCTTTAAAATAAACATAACTAATTTTTTATAAAAGGATACTTTTTTACATTGTCTCGAAAAACCACAACCACTAACTTCAAATAAATATCATAAAAATGATAAAATATTTGCTCATCAAAGACAAAAACTTTATAAATAAAATTAATATATATTTCTATTATATTAAAAAGAATTCATGCAAGTGGGGTTGATATGTCACATGTCAGTAGCTTTTTCCTCTTAACATTTACTCTCACTTAATAAATAGATGCATATATATATTTTTATAAATTTAGTTTAATTTAAACGTTTCAAGTAGAACTTTCATATTGTTTTATAATTAACCAAAAAATATTTTAAAAGGTGTTTTTCAACAATTTTTATTGTTTAGTATATTCCATTAAAATTTTGCTGACAATTTCATTTCATTTTGTTTTAAGTGACAAAGCATTTTCTTATAACTTTTTAACGACAAAATATTAAATATTTATTTTTAAATAACATAATTCAAATTTTGATTATACATTTTAATTTTACAATTTTTAATTATTCAATATCTTAAACACACACATAAAAGATCATCATTAGGAAGTTACTTTTCAAAAAATATATTTTACGAACCTTTTTACCTTCAAAAAAAATTATTTCTAAATGTTTTTCTTAAGTTATTATTTTTTTCCAATTTATTATTTCCATTTCTTTTTCTAAATTAAATTTAATATTTTAAAATAAACTATTAATATTGAAAATTTTATTTCAACTAACTATAATCATGATATATTTATATATCCGTTTTTTAATTATTATAAATAAACATTTTTGTATAATAAAAAGATTACAATATTCTTTTTTATTTAAGAATAATAAAATTTGTATGTATTTATTATAATTTGTATATATTTAGAAACATTTATTAACTATTATTTAAAAAAAATTATATATGTAGACAGAAAGATTGATTCTCTAGAATCATATTCAATAAATATAAAACGCTTCCAAAATTTAAACAAAAAGTCAAAGAAAAAATGCTTTTATAACATAAATAGTAAAAATATTTCTTTGAATTATTTTCTTAAAAGTATGACGTAAATTTAAATTAATTTAATATTTAATGTGTGTACATTAACTTAATTAAATTTTTAAACATTTTTCTTAAAATCAGACTATAATAATAAAATAATAAAATTATGTATAATTTTTAATATATTTTAAATAAAACTTAATTTATATAAAAAAATATTTAAATCTTATAATATTAAATCGCATATATATCTATATGTATAAAATGATTTTGAAATTTGAATGCAATGAGGTAGTCCAACTCAGAACGGAGCACGTGCCCGATACCGAAACAACGGTCCAGATCATGGAGCAATCATCAAATCCAAGGGCCTGAATTCATCCATGTGAACTCACACTTATCGACTAACAACGGTCCATAATGTGCCACATGGTCTCAAGATAGAGCGTTATTAACCCTTCTGATCCAACGGACCCTGCTCATTACCTCTCAAACAAACACCTCCGTTCCGTTTTACTTTTCCCCAACCACCCGTCACCGCCGGCCACCATATCCAGCTCTTCCAATACACCCACTTCGACTTTCAAACAAAATTATACGATTCAGTGATTTCATTCCTAGAAAACTTCGTTTCAACAGTGCTTCAAATTGACGCATCGTGTCTCGGATTTGTAACTTCTCAATCATTCCGAATCGAATTTGAAATTTCGAAGGAAAATTCACTAAATCTCAGTTCCATAGTAGCTTCTACTACGAACAGTGCTTCATTTCCACGCAGAACAATCAACTCAAATCGATTCGTGACTCGGATTTTCAACTCCTAGTTCATTCCGGGAACGAATTTGAAAGTCCGGGCACCAAGTACTGAATTTCACGTGTAACATAGTTAAACCATTTGTGGTTCGGAGTTTCAGTTCAAATCCGTTCCCAGTCGTCCTTCCAATTTCGAAGAAAACCGCGCTGACTACTTAATTTCATACACTGAACAGCGAACAGTACTTTATTTTCACGTGGAGCGAGTCAAAGAGATTCAAATTGAGACCAAGAACTCGTCCACGGTGAACTCCGATATTTTTCCTCTACTGATTTCGTTATTCGTTTCATCTTTCTCAGCGATTCTTCGAACCTCTCTGTTCATCGATGGCGGACTCCGACAACGACTCCGGCGGCACGCACAACGCCGGCAAGGGCAGCGAGATGTCGCCGCGGGAGCAGGACCGGTTTCTGCCGATCGCAAACGTGAGTCGCATCATGAAGAAGGCGCTTCCGGCGAACGCAAAGATCTCGAAGGACGCGAAGGAGACGGTTCAGGAGTGTGTGTCGGAATTCATCAGCTTCATCACCGGCGAGGCCTCCGACAAGTGCCAGCGCGAAAAGCGAAAGACGATCAACGGCGACGATCTTCTTTGGGCGATGACGACTCTGGGCTTCGAGGACTACGTGGAGCCTCTGAAGGTCTACCTTCAGCGCTTTAGAGAAATGGAAGGAGAGAAGACCGTGGCGGCGCGTGACAAAGACGCGCCTCCTGCTTCCAATGCTACCAACAGTGCCTACGAGAGTGGTAGTTATGGTGCTGGTGGGATCATGATGCATCAGGGACACGTGTACGGTTCTGGTGGGTTCCATCAAGTGGGTGGCAGTGTTATTAAGGGTGGGCCTGCGTATCCTGGGCCTGGTTCCAATGCGAGTCGGCCTAGATAGATTACATGAGTGCCATGTGGTCTGTTCTATTTTACTGTTGTTATTATTTTTATAATTTAAAAAAAAATAGCAAGATTCGTAGTGGTTTTTAGTGAAATTAATAATAATAATAATAATAATTACTATTATTATTATAATAATGCTGGATGAGTTGGTTTGTATTGTGAGTATATAATAGATGATTGTATGGCCATTATGTATAGTATATGACACTCTTCTATGTTCTAATGCCAACAATCTATAACTGATTTGATTGTTGTATCTATAGAAATAGTCTTTCTTAGTACTTTTTCCTTATTTGCTATGTGCTTTTATTCAAACTCTTCGGTCTTTATATAAAGGAAGTAATGCTATGATTCTTCTATTGGTGTTTGTTTGTTCATAAATAGCAAACTAACAACAATCTTTTTTCCTTCCCAAATTTAGTAATAATTGTGACGACCTTGTTATGAAATAAACATTAATAATATTTATATTAAATTGTAAAGAAGTATGATGGAAATAAGGTGTAATTCTCATATTACAAACTAGTTTTGTAAAATTATATTAACTTAACAAATATCTTATTAACATAGCCACAAGGAAGAAAGGAAGTATTGATAGCATGTGATTGGTATGAGAATATTTTGAGAGAGTGGAAAGAAAGACAGATGAGACTTGCTGCTATCTTTTTATCATCTAAATGTATAAACCTTTACTCTTCTAAGCACAAGCATGTGAAACTAAGATTTGTTGCTTCTTTGTTCCTTTGCCCTTTCTGTGTCTACATTGTTCAACAATAATTTTATGCATTATCCAGACGCAAGAATAAAGTCATTCTGATAATAACAAACCTTTCCCACTTCTTTCCCATCAGAATTTATTCCTCCACAGTATATAGCAGAAAAATGCAATAAAAGAAAAAAGAAAAAGAAAATAGCATTGCAACTATCATTGATTTGAAGTTGAGTAAAGATCTTTTAATTTAAAATATAATCTTCGCTTTCACTTTACTTAACAATCCTATCAGTATCTTTTATCATAAAAGACAATGTAAAACCTACACATAAGGCTAGGCATAAAGATTGGTTGATCATATTGTGATGCATGATGTATTAATGCATACCTGGCTTTGACGTTTGAAATTGTGTTTTTTATGAGGTTGCGTTATTTTTTTCTTTATACTTTTTTCTTATCAGAGTATTTCTAGATACAGAGATAGGTATGTATCTAAAGACAACATTCTTAAAACCAAAACAAATATAACTCAGTCAACCTGGAAAAGGAAAAGTTAAATCTGGGAAACATGATAAGGGAAACAGAATAATAATACAATAAAGAGCACAGATAACCAAATCCCCATAGAATATATACCAATAAATGTATCAACTCAAAATGAATCAATTGATCAAATCAATCATCCAGGATTTCCACTATTATTTCCATGGTTTAACAGTAAAATAAAATACAGCTGATAGAATTGAAATGGTCTCTCCTAGTATTCATTGTTCATAAAAGAGTGACGCCTATTCATACAGAGACTAATAATGGTTTTCTTTTTCTGTAATCCATTTTAAACACTGGAAAGTAAATATTCAACGTTAAATCGTATTCAAATTCTTTCTATCTCTCTTCTAATATATATAAACAACACACACACATAAAATATACCCTATAAAAGGATTATTCCCAGAAATATTTATATAGTACTTCCTATAACCAGTATAATCGATACAATTTTAAGTAAATCCGGTATGGTAAAGATGCCAATATATAGCAACTCTCCTTTCAGCATTAATATTGAAAAATCTATAAAAACATTATAAGTGATGTTCATCAAATAAAGAATAGGTATGAGACTCACAAGTCTAGTTTTACCAAATGATTGTATTTAATAGATGAAAGTATTGAAGGAAGTGTCAATAGCATTTCTCCAAATGAATTTTTTTAACATACTATATTCATTTGAAAAGTGAAAAACCTAGCCATTTTCTGCGTATTAAAAGCATTCAAGGTAGAGACATCAGAAATCAACACAAGACCATAAAACAAAACTGGAGAAGGAGTCTACCTTCATCAGTAAAGTTAATTTCAATATATACATGAAAACATGTACAATTCCCCAGCTTTAAATGATTACAGTGATCAAAATGGTTAGCTCTCTACATCATACACAATATTTGCATACTATACCACTATGCTAAAAAATATAAGGAAAAAAACAACAAAAAAAGGTGGGGAAAAGTCAGCCAAGAGGTGGGGGAAAATGATACAACAGCCAGCCATGGGTAAAAAAAATGATACAACAGCCAGCTAAAAGGTGGGTAAAAAATGTTACAACAGCCAGCCAATCGAAACAGCACATTATCAGCATCCTCTGCTAAATCCTAGTACATATTTCAAACAATAAGTTCTAAATAATCTACCACATTTCAGACTTCAGCAAGTTAAACCCATTACATCAACATGATGGTTTAATTAATCATGTTCTAATAACGGAAACATAAGTTCAAATCAAAAGCTAATACTTCATAGCAAAAGTTCCACTTCTCAATGTAAGAAAAGAATTGTCATGACTTGAATCCCCCACATTGAAGATGCTGATGCCATCACAACCCAGAGTTTGCATGAACAGTTTCCTTTCTCAAAACAATTGTCCCTACATCACGCAGAAGCCCATTACAATGCAAATTGTTTACAATTCAGAAGGCAATAACAGAAAGTACATAAAGGAGGTATAATTCATATAAAGTAGAAAAAAATTACATCCACAATTCAGCTAAAAAATTTATCTTCGAAATTCAATTAAATAAGCACAGGTAAGTGCAAGACTGAGGGTATAATACATTTATCCCAGAAACAAACACATTTTAAACATTGGAATGCTGCAAACCAAAAGGTTTAGACCATAGAAATGCATATAACTTCAAAATTTATTTCAAATACTGATGTGATAATATCTAAAAATGCCTTAGAAGAAGTGAATGATGCATGATAATTTAGGATAATGGTGTCAACTTATTCTGGGGATCTTTACTTGATAGCAATTAGGCCGATGAAAAAAAAGAGGGCTTTTATCTAATATTTATTAATTTATTTATTTTTCCATAATATGATTAGGGTTTGCGTATTAAGAATCTATTACTTACCTTATATAACCATATAGAGGTAACTGCTATGCCTTTTGCATCAAACCATTATGTACACCATATCAATCCAAGAAAATACAATTGAAAATCACCTTACTTTCTTTTCTTCATTCTCTGCCTAAACTACATATACTTTCAACTTGATATCAGAACAAATACAAGCATAGCCTAAAGCCATTATTTTTCCACCCATGTTCCAAATCAATAAAAATTCTGAACCATCAGGATTGGCGTCAGCTACACAAATTAAAAAATGTCATATCAATAACCAGTTCTTAAGATATGCAATCTACATATAACTCTTCTTTTAAACATTTTATTCATTTTTTCTAGTCCATCCTCCAACTCTAATTGAGTTTCATTTCCGTTGGCCAATCAAAAATTCTACGCAATGATCCCCACGCTTTTCTTCCATCCATGCTACTTTCTCCTACCACAGTCGACCCTATCATTTTCACCCAAAGAGTGGGTTTCAGCTCCAACTGTCCTAACCATCATCCATGCCAATCCCAACTCATTACATTCCTGGAAGGTCAACTATTGCCCAAGCTACAAGTACTATAATCACCAAGCAAAGTTCTATCATCATATGCTTCTGTCCACATGACTGGCCGTAAAGCCCTCCATCTCTCTACCTTTATCCAATTTCGCAGAACTCATTTTATATTTACATTACTTTCTTCTTTAGTGTCCATTTGTAAAAAGCAAAAAGTTTAGCTTAAGGAGTGTTGGGAATATCTACAGAATATCTTAGGGAAGGAAATGAAGCAAAACACATTAGAATCGTGTTAGCTTGTTTTTAGGAACTTAATCTTGTTACATTTAACATATTCTTAAGAATTTTATCTTATATATAGTAAGACACTCGTTACCCACTTGCAAAGGTTTAAAAGTCAAATACTTGACTTGATTTCTAGTATAAAAAGGGGATAGGGACCGCATGCTTTGTCTTCTGTATAACCTAATTCCTATCATATAATAATATCTATATACATATACACTGTTTAGTAGTTTTTGATTGCATATATATCCTATTAATACTACACTATTTATGATTTTTTATTATTTAGATTATTATAGTATATAGTATATTTAATTTAGTTTTTATTAAAACAATTAGTTTATTATATCATATTTTATGCTTCATGTAGTTTATTTTATTATACTGGAAATAACTCTCCCCATTATACAAGCTAAAAAGCAGCCCACATAAAAATACGATGTTGGACTCAAATCAAATTCAGGCCCATGGGCCTAACAGATGGGAAATGAGAATACTAAATTATGAAACCATAAGGACCCACCACCCATCAGCTTATGATAGCTAGCGCCAATCCCTCAAAGTAAAACAGTTTTTTGATACAACACAAATGAAAGGCCAGATGGCAAGAAATGGAGGCTATGGAGGGTTGGCGCTGCAAGTGGGCTTTGTGCATCAAAACCAGGTCAAAGTAACCTAACATGCATGCCTCGAGTAAACTGGCTATAATTTAGGATGTTTAATGATTGGTCCAAAACATATGTCCTAGGGGCTTCAATTCATAACGGGAATATTGGTTTGAAACAGCTTGTATATGAAGAAGTTAAGTCATCCGTGGGGTGATTGGGTGACCTGTTCAATCAGATAAAACCATAGCTAAAATTTTGGAGATAAAATAGTCTCCTAAACTAGAGCGATTGCTGCCACTCCAACCAACATTCCACTGCAATAGCAGCCGCTATTGATAACATAGTCGAATATTGCTTCCTATATTAATCTATTTAAGATATAACTGAAGTTATCTTTTTGTCCTTCCCTTCTTAAAACCATAATTCAAGTTTCAACAATACAAATCATTCAAGATCAGCCCTAATTTCTGAACCTTTTCATACCCATATAAAATATCCTAATTCAAGTTTCAACCATACAAATCATTCAAGAGTGGATGTAATTTTTCAACCTTTTCAGATCCGTATCAAAAGTACTTCCGACTATATCTTAAACAAATATTTAAGAGAACTATACCTTAAATACCTCGGAAAAAGTTTTCAAAAATATAGTCCATTTAGGA